CTGGGTGAGATCACACCTTAATTAAGATTATTGTTCAATTAATTAATTGATTTCATGTACATTTCACATACACCAAGAAAACATGTCTAAAGTAGCTCCAAACCCAAGAAGAGATCTAATATTAAAAATACAGCTATGTAAAAGCTTTACAACCTAAGTTACATATTGCTATCTCACTGATACAGAATAGAGGCATAGAACAGTATAGAGAAGTGCAAAGCAAGCCTCTATTTAAAACCCATAAATTTCTCTCCTGTAAGTCAAATCCTACTTTTAAATAGATACACTGAAGTATTTCCTTTACCCTTATTAGAGTAGATTAAACTATAAAACCAAACCTGCAAGAGAAAAAAGTAACAGAAAGAAAAGTAGTGTATTTTGATTTAAGAGTAAATCATCACTTTGGAAACTACTGTCAGTTCTTTAATTTTTCTATACTTGTTAAGTATAAATCAATCACAGTCCAAATAAGGGCCTAACTCTAAATAGCTTAAATGAGACTAGTTAGAGGTTTGGTGAAGACTGTGTATAATCTAAGTCTGACTACAAGAATTCTGATATTGTCTCTTAATCCCATCTCCATGATCAACAAAGAAATGCTTTAAAATCACCCTGTAAAATTTGATCTTCTTAAACTCTTATCTCCCACAACTTCCACTTTACTCACAGTAATGGCCACCTCATTATTCTATGAGCATGACAGGAACACTGTATCCTTAAGATCCTTATGCTTGTAGTTTCCTTTGTTTGAACCACAGCTATCCCCTATATTTTGTCTACAAATCTCCCTCCCTCATGTTTTGCAAGGCTTTGACCAATCAATGCCTTCTTCAGTTTGTCTTTACCTATCTCCCTCACAGTGGTCTCTACACCCTTTACCTGACTTATTTTTTCTCTGCAGTACTTATGACTATATAATATACTCTATTAGTCCGCTCACCTCTGAACAATGTAACTATCCTTATATTGTCCACTACTACCTTAGAAGACTATTTGGTAAGTCCTCATTGATTCACCTTAACTTACTCACCCAGACACTAAAATTGTGGTATGTTCAAGTTTTTTATTTATAGTAAATGCATATAACATGTGCAACTCTATCTCTAAATTACTTATAGTAACTATTACAATATAAATGCTGTGCAAATAGTCGTTACATTGTATCACAATATAAATGCCATGCAAAAGGTTACATTGTATTATTTAGAGTAACAAAAAAACCAAAATGAATGCATGTTCAATACTGATGTCATTCCTTTTCTCCCAAATACCTCTCAACCACAGTTGAATCCAGGGATGGAGGGCTGCAGCAACAGAGAACTGATTACATACAGTCAAGTATATGGAAGGTTAAGAGAATAAGTGATTGGTAAGAACTGATAGTAATCCAGAAACACTCAAATAGATCTATTTGACTCTGATTGTGCTACTTAGCCTGGTATACTGGTGGCTTACGCCTATGATACTACCCATTTAGGTAGTGGAGTTCTGAGAATGCTGGTTCAAAGTCAGTCCAAGTAGAAAAGTCTAGAGACTCTATCCTGACAATTAACCTGCAAAAAGCTGGACTGGATGCATAGTTCAAAAGTAGAGACCCAGGTCTGAGTCAAAAAACTCAGTGAGAGTGCAAGACCCTGAGTTTAAGTACTGTTAGCAGGCTAAAAGAGGAAAAAAGGTACTAATTGACTAAAAAGCATCCAAAATATTTAATTCAGAACACTAAACCCTAGTTGATCATTACTCAAATTTACAATATTTCTAGATTCGGGTCTTTTCAAAGAGGAATATAAAATGTCTTTCTACTAATGATCTGCCACAATAAACTTTGCCTAAAGAATGTCTTATTTTACATTTGTCTTCTTTACTTTGAGGTTCTGCAGCAAGACCCAGTAGACAATGATATAGCTGCCAACTTTAGAAATAAAGCCAACTGCAAGAAAGTTATGCAAGCCTCCTAAAGCAAAACAAAAGCAAAAATTAAAATACAGATTCAGTGCAAGAGTTGTGGATGTAGTTCAGTGGTAGAGTGCTTGCCTAGCATATGCAAGGCTCTGGGTTTGAACTCTAGCACCAAAAAGGTAAAGATAAAAAAGTATGAATAAAGTCAGTGTGAAGAACCTAATTCTTTAAAATTCAAGTGAGGACTTAAGCAGATTCATCTTTGATTAGTCAAACACAAAGCACAAGAAAATAAACAAATAAATAAATGGTTAAAGAAAAAGCTTCCTACAATAAAAAAATACAGAGGTGTTACACCTACACATTGGTCTACCTAGGCACTGACAGCTGTGTCAAGTCAATGACACTCAGCCTTCTAGATCCTTAAGTGTTGGATGAGAAAGCTAGACTATTCTTTTAAGCCTTATCAGAAATCTGGTACTTTTTGTTAAAATGAAATACATGCTATTCTGCCTCCATTTCTAACTTCAACATTCCAAGAAAAAATTTATCCAACTTAAAATGTTTGTTTTGCTGCACATGGTGGTATATATACTCCTACTCCCCAGCTACTTGAGATTGACTGGGAGGATCACAGTTCAAGGCCAGCGTGGACAAAATGTTAGTGAGATCAGCCAGGCACAGGTGGCTCATGCCTGTAATCCTAGCTACTCAGGAGGCTGAGATCTGAGGATAGTGGTTCAAAGCCAGCCCAGGCAGGAAAGTCCATGAGACTCTTATCTCTAATAAAGCATTAGAAAACCGGAAGTGGTGCTGTGGCTCAAGTGGTAGAATGCTCGCCTTGAGCTGAAGAGCGCAGGGACAGCACCCAAGCCCAGAGTTCAAGACCCACGACTGACCAAAAAAAAAAAAAAAAACCAAAAGAAAACCAAAAACGTGAGTGAGATCTCATTTTAACAAATAAGCCAGGCATAGTGGTTTCAGGTGTGATCAGGTGGTTAGATGGTGTGATTCCACCTAAGCAAGAAGCGTAGTAATAGGTTAAAGATCTAAGATTGGCCAGTGCAAAAACACCAGAAAAAGGCCTTGGAATGTTGGCTTAAGTAGCAGAGCACATGCCTGGCACAGGCCCTGAGATCAAGCCCCAGTATCACCAAAAATTTTTTTTCTTATGCTGTTGGCAGTTGCCACTGTTTATCATCTCTAAACATTAACAGAAAATAAAATAGACAACATCCCTACTAGTGATGTATGTATGTATATATATGCATATATATGTAATGTAACATACATATATATGTGAGATACATTACACACTAAGGCTTAAAAAAGTTATATAACCTGGAAAAGATCACAAAATATAGGGTCTGAACAGGGGGGCAATGGCTCATGCCTGTAATCCTAGATGCTCAGGGGGCTGATATCTCAAGATGACAGCTCAAGGCCAACTCAGGCAGGAAAGTCCTTGACACTTTTTTCTGCAATTAATCCAAAAGCTGGAAGTGGAGGTGTGGCTCAAGTGGTAGAGTTCTAGTCTTGAGCACAAAAGCTCAGGGACAGCAGCCAGGCCCTGAGTTCAAGCCCTAGGACCAACACACACACACACACACACACACACACACGTTCAAGCCCTAGGACCAACACACACACACACACACACACACACACACACACACACACACACGAAGAAAGAAAAGAAAAGAAGAAAAAGGGGTCTGGTTTTGAACCTAAACCCTTGGGTTCCCAAGTCTCACCTCAACTACTACAATACTCTCTTTGAGGAGTAATATTCTCAAATATTAACAGAATCACACTAAGCTTCACTCGCTTGTATATGGATGTGTGATCTTGAGTGAATGTAATGCTGAGGGGTAAAATAACCTTTTTTTTTAGTTGTTGTTAAAACTAGCAAAATCTTGGATTTTATGGTAGAACATCATGAGCACAATCATCCACGAAAACCTCTGACCTCCGGTTCGTTTCCTAGCAGTCTTTCTTCCAACGAGGAAATACGCTCAAGGCCAACTTAACATTTTAACATGATTCTGAGTGCCCTCTTGGGAGGGACGAAAGTTTTTTCCCTGAAGCTTGAAACAGAGTGGATCAACGGATGACAGGTTGCAATTCCTGAGATCTGTCATGTCTTTGTTCTTTTCCTTCAGCAAACTCCAGAGTGCTTTTGAGGTGTAGCTTTGGGTCGCCGTTACTGACACTAAGAGGCGGCAGCTCAGACATGGGGGGGGGGCAATTCCCTGCTAGCCGGTGCAGGGCTATTATATGGTCCTGGGATACCAAATTGGGGGTGGGGGGCAGGCCTGACCATGGGAGCCCACTAGCCCTTCTTTCCTAACTACTGAGGGTGGCGGTGAGATCGAGGACTTCCAGAGGACGCCCGGCCACACCCGCGCCGCACCGATCCCCCTTTTACCTTCCAGGGCTCCCCGCACGCTCCCGGGGAGCGGGGGGAGGAGGAAGGGAGAAAGGCGTCCCTAGAGACCCGAGGACATAGAGCGCCCAGCCAAGGACGGCCGGGCCGAGGGCGCTCACCATCGTTCTCGTCGCTGTGCCGCCGCCTCGACATGCTGCCGGTGTACAGCCAAGGCTGAGATGCAGGCGGGAAGCGTCTCAGGAACCGTCGAGCTGCCGGTCGCCCGGCGCGCGAGGACCGCGGAAAGGCGCGCGGACTGGCCGGCGCGCAAGCGCACTCGCTCCGAGAGACTCCCGGAGAAATTCGAAGGAAGAGGTGGCCGGCTGGGCTGGGCGGCCGAGGGCCGCAGTCGCCAACTTCACTGAGCTACCCGCGTCCGACTCGGCACGCCGCCGCCCCCTCAGGCTGCCTTCGCGGCCGGCGGCTTCCTCCTCCCGCCTTCCGCTCTGGGTCCTTCCGGGGCCACGCGGAAGACGCCGCCGTCGCTCCAGCCAGCCAGAGCCTGCGGGCCGCGATCCAGAGCGGGTGGTGAGAGGAGCCCGAGCCGCGCGAGGCCCGCTGCCGCGCCGCGCCCGCCCACTTCCCCCCGCCCCTCTGCGTCCAGGGTTTCCCGGCGGCCCCTGCGCCGAGGTCGCGAGGACTTCCGGAGCGCAGTCACTTCCGGGCTGCTTTTCTTTCGCTCTGGCTGGCGTGTGAGTCTGGGAACGAAGGCTTTTGCTGAGCGGGACAGCGAAGGCTATTGCTAAGCGGAAGTCAAAGAAAGACCTTACGGAGAGGTCTGTGGGTAGGTGTTCCTCTCAGTCCCACCTCCAGGCTTCGGCCTGTGGGAAAGGTTGGGCCAGGCTCTGAGGAGAGGTGGGGCCCGGGCGGGAGGCGGTGCCTCGCGCTGTCCTTGGTGTGGATGGACCCCTGCGGACCTCAGCCTGCAGTGCTGGTCAGCTCACCTACAAACTATTGTTTTAGTAATCTATTCCTAATGGCCCGTTGGAATTAGTTTACGAGTACAGCGTAGGATCGCCACCTCCCTGATGCCTTTGGTGAGAACACTACACTGCCTTGCCCATGGTCATCTGAAATTTCACTCGCTGGCCCTTAAATACTTCCCCCTTAGTCTTACCCATGTCACAAAATGGCGCTGTCCTACGATTGTTTAATCCATAAATGCAAGGAAGAGCCTGTAGATTTCGTTTCTCCTTTCATAACCATTTATCCATAATCCTGCCAGTTATACTTTCAAAGCACATCCATAACCAGACCTGTGTTACTGTCTTGTTTAAAACCCTGCTAAACGTTTCATTGCAAACTCCATAGCCTGTAGGGTTCTGCCCTCATACTTGTGTTCTTTCTCTTCCTCTCATAAGTCTAGTTTGTTACCAACATTTTAGGTATGTGTACTGTTTTCTTTCCCTGATGGGGCTCTGTATTTGTGTGTTCTCCATAATTCTCAATCACCATGGTTAGTATATAGTCCCCTCTCCCCGTGTGAAAACTCCTTTTACAGAGTTCTTTTTAAACAGAGTGCCTCATAAAGTTGTGAATTGGCAAGGGTTGTTGTCATGTCTTTCTTGCATTTTTCTCATTGTTGGTGGCAATTTATTTGTACCCTCTTCTGGTGCCTCTCTGTTACCACTCCTTTCAGAATGCTGCTGTCCACCCCAGGCTACCTCCTTCAAGGTTATCTTTGGGAGACAATGAAATAACCAATGATGACATGGAATAACCATTGTTATGTTTTGGGGCAGGAATTTGGATAGGGTACAACAGGGACAGCTTGTCTCACAGCCTAAAGACTGGGGCTGGAACTGAAGCCATCTGAGAGCCTGTCAGTCAATTTTGACTACTAGCTAGAAGTCCTTAGGTCCTCTCTACATGATTCTTCTACATGGTCTCTGCATGGTCTGGGTTGGCTCGCTTACTCCATGGTGGTTGGTCTTCTCAGAGTGAGCCTTTCCATCCCTCTGCCTCCTTACTTTGCTTACTTTTCTTCACAATTGTTTCCATCATCTGATTTTCTTCATTTGTTTGCCTCTCCCCACTGGAATGTAAACTCTATGAGGAGTTTATTCATTGTGTAGTACAGTGTCTGGGTTGGATAGTTAAATAAGTGCTAAAATTGAAGCTGCACATGAATGAATGAATAGCCTATGCTGCTTGGCCCACACTGATTTGCATGATTACTTAGCTTCATACTTACTTCAAAAAGTAACCAGAGACTTGGACATTACTGTTTCTCCCCTACTTTTGTCTCAGGAGGCACTAGACTGAAAGGAAGCTGCCGCAAGGAGCACCAAACCAGATGCCTTCTTCTATTTCATCAGATCAAGATGACTTGGAGACCTGTATACTAAAAATTTTTAACCTGGATTTAAAGGATACAAGTCTTACTAGTCCCAGCAGCAATCTCAAAGCAGAGTTAGATGGCAATACAAAGAAGAAATACTCATTTGCAAAGAAAAAGGTAAATTGCTATGATGTTTTCATGATCTAGAAGTATAGAACTAGTTTGTTTAGGTTGTTCCCAGCTTACAGTATGGTCTAGTCAGGAGTCCTCAGTGATATAATGATCCTTACCTCTAGAGACCCCTGCGATAGGTGAAAATCTGCGAAGTAGCAGTGTTACATAGCTGTCCCTCACTGTATCATGGTTCACTTCTTGCTACGTAATAGATTTTCACCTGTCACAGGGGTCTCTGGAACATATCTCCTGTGGATAGGGAGATACGTTCACTCAATATAGTGAAGCCGCAATAAGTGAGCCGCAGTATAGCAAGGGATGACTGTATATTAATTCAATGCCAGGCAAAGGAGAATCGAAGAAAATGTGTGGCACTGGAATAGTTATAGTGGAGTATCTGTGTACAGTAGATTATAGACAGATTGGATTTTTTTCCCCACCCAGAGTTATGGGAGGAATGCCAGGAATACAGGACACATAACCATTAAGAGAACAGATAGGCAGTAGGGCAGCTGTCATTTAGCAAGGCTACCAGACTTGAGGCTGTTACTGAACCCAGCCGACTGTTGAGATAAGATTTCTGATCTGGTCCAGTTGTCTGGGTTCTACTGCTTTGGAGAAGAACAAAGAATCCCAGAATGCTATAGGTTTGCTCACTACAGCTTTGATAGGGCTGTAATGGATGTAGTGTTGCTGCTGTTCTGTGCTATTTGGTCCCCCCTATCTTTTTTTTTTTTTTGTAGAAACCATTGATTGAAACTCTATGATCTTAACAGTAGAGAACCTGAGCTCAACAGGAAGGAAAAGAATAACTGAGGAAATGCAATTGAGACTTAGTATTCTTACCTTCAGTCTGCAACCTTCTCACAGAGCCTTCTTTTATTAGTTCCTTGTCAGCAAAGAACAGATGTCTGCTAGTAACTTCCTAGCTGTCCCCCAGATTTCCTTGATCATGAAATTCAAAGGGTACAACAAAGTCTTTAACACTAATATTTTGCAATAATTTCAAGTATATGGAAAAATTGCAGGAATTTTATGAATGGTACACATATTCCCTATACTCAGAAATTTCTTTCATGTTTCACCATTAGTCCTCAAATGGCTTTTGCTTGTGTGGATTTGGGGGACAAATATGGTAAGGAGTTGGACTCAGAGCCATGTACTTGCCAGGTTGGTGATCTGTCAAACCCCCAGCTCTCCAAACTGACTCACATAAATTCTACTTAATTGTTATGTCTTCTCAGTGGTCTTTGTTATGTTATTTGAGACAGAATCTCATTGTGTAGCTCAGGGTGGCTTTAACTCCTACCTCAGCCTCCTGAACACTGGCATACAGCCATGACCCACCATACTTGGCCTTAGTCTTATTCAAACCTGAATAGTTTCTTTTCCCTTAGATCTGATTATGACATTTTTGAAAATTACAAATTTTGTTTGTTTGTTTAGAATGTTACTTGGTTTGATTTTGATTCATATTTCCTTGTAATTAGCTCTAGGTTTTGCTTTCAAAACCTGAGATACTGTACTCCTCTTGAGTTCTGTAGGAAGTACAATGTCAATTCACCCCTGTTACTGACAAGGTAATTTTGATTACTTGATAGAGAAATGCCTGCCACATTTAATTAATGTTGTTATCTCCTTTTCTCTTTGCCTGTCTTGAAGGATTAACCAGAAGAGAGGCTAAAGCATGCCCTCTAACTTGAGAATCCCAATTTGAAGCCAGACTGGGTAGAACAGTCCCTGTGAGACTCATCTCCAGTTAACTACTCAAAAACTGAGAGTTGTGCTGTGGCTCAAAGTGGTAGAGCGCTAGTCTTGAGCAAAAGAGCTCAGAGACAGCTCCCAGGCCCTGAGTTGAAGCCCCAGGACCTACCCCTCCCCCCAAAAAAAGTCCTTTAATATAATTTGAGGCTACCCCACCCTATTGATTCAATCCTAGACAATCCAAATACATCTTGCACATTGAGGAGGGTCCAGCATTATGCTTTTCATCTGTGATGTACCCACAAAGTGTGTATTTAAGGTTACTTTACAGAAGTCTTGAATTCATTTAAAAATTATTTCACTATATATGTATAAAATATTCCACCCCCCTCCCACTAGACAGGATACACTGTACTTTGCAAAGCTGAAAGTAATACATCCTATATAACCCATATTTCTGTACCAGAAAGTACCATAAAACCTAATGACAAGCTAGACAAAGTATTTAATAGCTATGATCTAAACATTCAGACTTACTGCTAATCAAAGACATGCAAGTAAAAATTGGCTAGCATTCCTTTTCTTTGTTGGGGAAAACAAAGTGGTACAATTTTGCTGCAAGTCATAATTTAAAATGTTGTGCATTTTGACCCGTTAAGTTTTCTTGTAGATGTCTATCCTGAATGTAGATGCTTAAAGAAGTAGAAGAAACACAGTCAACATTGCTTCGAATTGCAAATGTTGAGCCGGGTGCTGGTGGCTCATGCCTGTAATCCTAGCTCCTCAGGAGGCTGAGATCTGAGGATCGCAGTTCAAAGCCAGCCCGGGAAGGAAAGTCTGTGAGACTCTTATCTCTAATAAACCAGTAGAAAACCGGAAGTGGCGCTGTGGCTCAAGTGGTAGAGCGCTTGCCTTCAGCTGAAGAGCACAGGGACAGAGCCTAAGCCCAGAGTTCAAGCCCCACGACGGACCAAAAAAAAAAAAAAGAATTGCAAATGTTGAAAATTCTGAATATATTTCAGATGATAATTGGCTAAGAAATTTCTTGTTAATTTTTTTATTTTGTCTGTCATGGGGCTTGAACTGGGCCTGGGTGCTGTCCCTGCTCTCTTCATCTCAAGGCAAGCTCTCTACCATTTGAGCCACAGCACCACTTCCTGTTTTCTAGTCGTTTATTGGAGATCAGAGTCTCACAGACTTTTCCTGCCTGGGCTGGCTTTGAACCGTGATCCTCAGATCTCAGCTTCCTGAGTAGCTAGGATTATAGGCATGAGCCACTAGTGCCTGGCTCTCTTGTTAATTTTTTAAACAATATACAAATTATTTTATTTTTTGTCAGTCATAGGGCTTGAACTCTGGGCCTGGGCACTGTCCCTCAGCTCTTCAGCTCAAGGCAAGTGCTCTACCACTTGAGCCACAGTGCCACTTCTGGTTTTCTGGTGGTTAATTGGAGATAAGAGTCTCAAGGACTTTCTTGCCTGGGCTGGCTTTGAACCATGATTCTCAGATCTCAGCCTCCTGCATAGATAGGATTATAGGCATGAGCCACCAGTGCCTGGCAATTTACGTAATTTTTATAAAAAATAATCACACATTAATTTCCAAAAAAAAAATCAGAACATTTTCATGTATTTTATTCTAGTCTTTTTTACTGTACTTTAAAGTTCCATTCAGATTGTATCATATCAGCAAATTCTATTCAGTTGTTTCACTCAACGTAATATCAATGGTTTCTCATATAGTTTAAAGTTGCTTACTATTTCTTGGTAAGTTTACAGCATAGTTTATCATTTTGCTTTTGGACATAAATGATGGTACGATAGTACTAATATTTGCCTGAAATTCAGATCCTTCCCTTAAACTTCTTAAGAAAGTTGAAACCATAAACACTGTTCACATTCTTTAAATCTGTTAGTTTTCCAAGAAAGAGTATACTCCTATAGGTAGTATATTTTACTACCCATTTCATTTTACCCTTAGCAGATTTCTAAATATATTCTAGAAAATAATAAGATTTTACAGGAAGATATATAGGTACTAAACAATTATTTCATTATGTGTAAACAGTTAGTGACAAGTGTTAATGGGCAAAAATTAAAATGTAAGATTTCAGCTTACACCCTTTTGTAGGATGGTCAGAAAAAGGCCTCATCAGTAAGCAACGTTTGAAGAAGTGCATGAGTGAGCAAAGCAAGTCCTACATATTTGGAGGAAGAGCATCTAAAGCAAAGGCCATGGGACACAAGCTTGCATGTTGTCTTTGATCCAAAGGCAAGAATAGAAGACTATACTTTCAGGGATAATTTCTATAATTTGTTACTAGAGAAATCTCAGTGATGGTGTAGAGTACCAAAGGCAAGAATAGTAAGGTAGCAAGTCAAGTGGGAACAGTACAAGGAGCCATATTTCCTGAGGAATTATAGGCCACTGTAAGGATTTTGCTAGAGAATAATAACACTGCTGTAAGGAAAGTTTGGAGCAGAGGAATGGCATCTGATTTAGGTTTTAAAAGAATCATTTTAGCTGAATGGAAAATAAATTAGGAGGTTAAGTATGGAAAGAGGGAAAGTGAGTATTATAATAGTTCAGGGAACACATGGTGGTTTGGATCAGCAGAAAGGTAGCCAAGAGAGTTGGTGAGAAGGATTGGATTCTGGGTATATTTTAGAAGCAGAGCTGATGATTGGATATCAGAGTAAAGAAAAGTGAAGATGTGAAAGGTAGTGGTGGCTTACTCACAACTATAATACTAATTAATCAGGAGACTACAATCTGTGGATCGTGGTTTTAAGCAGCCTTCAGTCTGTGAGACTCTTGTCTCTAGCCAGCAAAAAGCCAGCAATGGATCTGTGGCTTAAGTGATAGAGCTCCACTGTAAGTGAAAGTGCAAAAGGCGAGGATAAGATGCCATATTTTATCATTCCAATTTAATATATGGACCACTAGAAACAATGAAAGGTATTGTGTATGTTTGCGCGCGTGTGTGACTTAAATTTTACATCCTGGGAATAAAATTATGATTCTGATAACTTTTACATCCATAATATGAACCCCTTGGTTTTAGTTTTTTTAAATGATTTCTTCCAAAGGTTACTAATCTGAGAACTATTACTTTCTCAGAGAATGCTCACACAATAATAAGACATAAAACTGGAACTCCCAATAGAAAGATAACAGAAGGGACTTCATAAAATCTTCCATCGGCCATATATCTAAAGATACTTACCTGTGATAGTATTTGCAATGTAATTTCAGGCCTTTGCCCTTTTTGTCAAAACCAAGCAAGTTCCAACCCTTTCTTTGGAATGTGAGGAAAGCCAGTGGAAGTGCTGTCAGCATCTATTCACAGACCAAACCAGCATCCACAGACATGTGGCAACACAACATGGTGATGAAATTTATCTCCAGACTGCTGCTATTTTAAAGCAACTGGCCGCCAATTTGAGTGCCTCAAAGAGCCTTGTGTCTGCACACCAAAAGAACTCTCCAGAAGAGTCCTTCACTCATAGCCATGAAGTATCTGCGTGGCTCCCTGACATCAGCCGCTTTAGCACTGATGAGCTAATGAGGTAAGAGTTTTCATTCTGTTTTGGCTTGATTTAAAAACTTTCATTCTGATTTGGTTTGAGATACTACAATATACCTACTAAAATGACTAAAATGAGAAAAACCACTTTCAGCAAAAATGGATGGCAATGTGGGGACAACTGGCTGATAGAATAGGAAATTGTATGGCCACTCTGGAAAATTTGGCAGGTTCTTTTTAAAGTTACATCTTTCCTGTGATCTGTTCCTGGGCTTATAACCAAGAGAAGTAAAAACATGTCCACAAAATTATTTGAACAGGAATATTCATAGCTGTTTTATTCATAAAAAAATCTGGCAACAGTTGCAAATGTCCAAAGCAAGAGAATGAATGAACACATGTACTCATAGAATACTGTGCAGGAAGACTGATGGACTGCTGATGTTCAGGCTACTTCCTCTTCATATTACTTGAAGGCAAAGCCAATTTATGCTGATACATAGATTGCTTCTGGTAGAAAGTTTGACTGAAGCCTGGCGCTGGTGGCTCATGCCTGTAACGCTAGCTACTCAGGAGACTGAAATCTGAGGATCGTGGTTCAAAGCCAGCCCGGGCACGAAAGTCCGTGAGACTCTGTTCTCCAGTAAACCACTAAAAAAGCCAGAAGTGGTCCTGTGGCCCAAGCGGTAGAGTGCTTGCCTTGAGCTGAAGAGAGTAGGGACAGCTCTCAGGCCCAGAGTTCAAGTCCCATGACCAACAAAAAAAAAATGTATAAGGGAGGTTTGGGAGTGTTTTTTGTTTGTTTTGTTTGTTTTTGGTAATACTGGTTTTAAAGCAGGGATTTAAGCTTGCGAGGCAAGCATTCTGCTACTTGAGCCATACTTGCAGCCCCTTTGTTGTGGTGATTTTTAATAGTAAGTCTTACTTTTTACGACTCATTTTCAGCTCTTGTATAAAACATAGTTAACAGTACTTATCTCTTGGTTATGACTATTAAATGAGGAGCAAAAAGTAAACTTGCCTTTTGTAAAGTAGGAAATGCAGTGCAGACACTGACTAGTAGTTACTCTTCACGTCAGAGGAGCATGAGTTTCTACCTTTACCTTCCTCCCATACTACCCTATACAGTGACTCATGTGTTCTTGCCCTCTGGTTTTCTATTTATAGTGGCCAGGGCAGTGAGGAAGGGGAGGTGCTACTTTATTACTGCTACCGGGACCTGGAGGAGCCCTATCGGATCTGTGCCTGGCAGACAGCTCTGTGTGAGCATCTGCACCTCACTGGCAAGGTAACCTTTCTCCACATGCCCTCTGCACTAGGCTGGTCTTGTCTTCCAGCTTTGGAATACAGAGCCAGTCAGTGCTCATTCTGTAAACGTTCACCATTGGGAAGTCTTGCTGGATATTCAGTAAAGTGTTAAAACAGCTATCAACATGTTACATACAAATATAAGATACAAGAATATCTAGCGGGTGCTGGTGGCTCACACCTATAATCCTAGCTACTCAGGAGGCTGAGATCTAAGGATCATAGTTCAAACTCAACTGGGGCAGGAAAGTCTGGGAGACTCTTATCTCCAGTTAACCACCAGAAAACCAGAATTGGAGCTATGGCTCAAAGTGGTAGAGCACTAGCCTTGAGCAAAAGAGCTCAGGGACAGCACTCAGGCCCTGAATTCAAGCCCCATGACTTGAATCAAATGGCATATATCAGGGGTCAACTAACTTTTCCAATAGAGTCAGACAAATACTTCAGACTTTGTAAAATTGAAGGCAGCTGTACATGATATGTAAAAGTGGATATGGCTGGGTTCTCATAAAGCAACATGCAAAAGCAGGGGTACTTGGCTGATCCCTTGGGACAGGAAAATATTATATAACTTCTCACGGTATTTTATAGACAGATGGATATATAGGTTTACTTGAAGTTGCCTCTTAGTTTTCCTAGTACCTGCCTGGGTCTTTTGCAAGCTCAGGTTCTCTTACCCCTCTAGAATGCCCTGGTTCTTCCCCTTTTTCATATGGTTTTGGCCTTTTCTCAGATCTCTGCTCCAGTGTAGTCTTTGGAACTGGAATCTGAAGTTGCGCTCATCATGCATCTCTTTTTGCTATTCAAAGAGTGTATGAGTGACTGAAAGCATGATCCATCTCTGTCATAGAATATATGCTTCATGAATTCAAGAACTTTGTCTTAATTAATCTCTATCCTCTGTGCCAGCAAGGCAATAGCAGGTACTCTGCCAATATTTGCAGAATGTTGAATAAAGGAGTGAATGCATGCTCATAATAAAACCATAAGTATGTGTAAAGATGGAATGTTATATATCAAAATGTTAATGATGGCTGGGAGCTGGTGGCTCCTGCCTGTAATCTTCACTACTCAGGAGGCTGAGACTGGAGGATTATGGTTCAAAGCCAACCCAGACAAAAAAAGTCTTTGAAACTCCTCCAATTAATCAGTAAAAAGCTAGGCTACAGGTACTCAAGTGGTTGAATACTAGCTTAGCAAGTAAGCCAAGTGAATGAGAGATTCTTAATTCAAATTCCCAGTATTGTACACACACACAACACACACCCATGTGTTAATAATGGTCATCTCTGCATGATAGGTATCTTTTTATTTTTGTAAAATGTTCTATATGGTTATATGTGTATATGTCTAATTTTCAAATTTTAAGTCAAAAGAACTGGACTCTGAGATATCCTCTGGTTGTGGCTGTACTGTTCTAATCTTTACTGTATGTGACTCAGGTTTTAATTTTCTAGAATGGTAAACTGATTGATCAGTGCTGTTTTCCACACCCATGTTTTCTAAGAAGTAGTGATTTTATTATCTCATGACTTCATCAGTAGGTCCTGCCATTTCTACCTCAAGAATAACCCTTGACTCCATTCACTTTTCTTACACTTTTACCATCTGAGACCAGTCCCTGCCCTTTCTGTCTTGGTCATGCAGTCATTCCCAAACTAGTCTGTAGTCCTCCTTTCTTACCATATATCCATTTGCCATACAAGCTAGAATGATCTTAGAAGTTTACCTTACTTAGAAGTCACATTGCTCTCTACTAGTATCTTCCAATGACTGCCTACTAGATGTGATAGGAAACTTTTCTATCCTTCACATGTCCTGAGTTCCTGCATGGTTGGGCTCTTCTTACTTATTCCATCTAGATCTAAGAGTTTTTTTGGCAGAGTCTTTAGAGTCTTCTATGTATAGGATGATATTATCTGCAAATATCAATAATTTAACCCCTTCCTTTCTTAATTTTACCCTTTTATTCCTTTCCTTTATTGCTTTCACCAGAAACTTCAATACCATAATGAATAGGAGTAGAGATTTAAAACCTTTGTCTTGTTCTTGATTTTAGTGGAAATGATTTCAAGGTTTTTTTTCTATTTAGTAGCATGTTAACGGTATATTTGTCATATATCATCTATTGAGATGATCATGTGATTTTTTTTTTGCCCTTGATTCTGTTTATGTGCTGCACTAAATTTACAGTTTTTACCTATGTTGAACTTGAACATCCTTGCATACTGGAAATGATGTCAGCTTTCAACTAGATCATGGTATATGATCTCTTTAATATGTTACTGAATTCAGTTTGCAAGAATTTTTGTGTCTATGTTTATCCAAGAAATTGGTCTATAATTTTTTTTTGGTTGTACTCTTTCAGTGAGTAACACTGTTTTGATAGAATGAGTTTGGTAGTATTTCCTTTTTTAATCTCATAGAATAATCTGTGGAGCAGTGACCTTAGTTCTTCGTTAAAGGTCTGGTAGAATTTGGACTTAAATTCATCTAGTCCTAGCCTCCTTTGTCTCTGCTTGTTGATCTTTTCAAGTAGTTTATACTCTCATTCAGTTTTAGCAGGTCAGATACATTTAGAAATTTATCATTTCGGGGCTGGGAAGGTGGCTCAGTGGTAGAGTGCTTGCCTTGCATGCATGAGGCCCTGGGTTCGATTCCTCAGCACCACATAAGCAAAAAGAAAAAAACTGGAAGTGGTGCTGTGGCTCAAGTGGTAGAGCGCTAGCCTTGAGCTGAAGAGCTGAGGGACAGTGCTTAGGCCCAGAGTTCAGGCCCCACGACTGGACCCCCACCCCCCAAAAAAAGAAATCATTTTCCCCTGTCTTTAGTAATAATCTCTCCTGTGTTTCCTGACTCTTCTTATTCATAAAATCAAAGTAGTGTTTGCTTCTAATCCATTATTTTGCTCCATCCTTGCTGTTGTTCAGTTTCTTAACATATCTGCCAAGGGTTTTTTGTTTTTGTTTTTATTTTGTCAGTCGTGGGGCCTGAACTCTGGGCCTGGGTGCTATCCCTCAGCTTCAGCTCAAGGCAAGCACTGTACCACTTGAGCCACAGCACCACTTCTGGTTTTCTAGTAGTTTATTGGAGTCTCCTGGAGTTTCTTGCCCGGGCTGGCTTTGAACCGCCATCCTCAGATCTCAGCCTCCTGAGTAGCTAGGACTATAGGTGTGAGCCACTGGCGCCTGGCTATGCCAAGGGTTTTTTGTTTGCTTGTTTGTCCTTGTGCTTTTTTTTTTTTTGCAAGAAAACTCTTCATAGCCTCTCCCCCCACTTTTCTTTTCTCAGAGACCCTTCTAGATCTTCAATCTAAATTCATTTTCCCTAGATAATAATAATTCATAAATTTTGTCCATTTGTAATTTAGACCTTACTATTTGTGATCTCCCTTAGTCTTAAGCTCCAAAAGGAACAATACTGTATTTTTATCAACCACTGCATACCCAATTTCTTGTACAATTTCTGACACACAGTTGAACACATCAGTAAAACTTGTGGAGTGAATACATATCACCACCTCTATCCAAGGAACTTTCACACCTTGGAAGATAGGTATTCTTACAAACTATGAAATTGATTTCTGTGTTTAGAGGGCAGATTTTCTTAGCCCAGTCTCAGTGGGCTGCCCTAGTAATGTAGCAGTGAATGGTCTTATCCACAAGGTGGCAGCCTCTCCCCAGAGTGCGGGTCCAAATTCCCCCTTTAAGGCTGCTCATGTGGCCAGTTTAGTGAGAGAATTTTGAGCTGTTAGATTTGGCAGAGTATTGGTGCTAAGGGAAGGAAAGAAGAGAACCTGAAAATTCTAGAATTAAAAAGTACATGTCTTTATTATTGTGTATCTTTATCTTCAAGAAATCTTCAAGAAATTTGAGGTGATAGATTGGAGACTTTGAGAATGACACATTATAAGGTACAGAGCCCCAAAGGTCTGGTTTTACAAAACAAGATATATTCTAGATCTTCATCCCACCAGGGAAGTTACTTGATTTCCTGAACCTCTCTTTCCTGTTGGTTTTGTATTCCAGATCTACTGCCCACTGGGGAAGGTACTTGATTCACCCCGAGCCTCTCTTTCCTTCTCTGAATAATAGGGGATTGCAGTGCCTACTTTTCTGAATTATGATACAATATACCTGTTTCATGGCAGGTATTCAGTCAGTGCTGACTGTTGCTTATCTCAATTTCTTAGATGAAAAGCATTTCTTACCAAGGAGCTTCTTCTAGAGTTTTGTACTGAAGAATCATAGAGATTGCAAGTACAGCCCATGAGTTTGGACATGGCTCTGCCTTAGCTATGTGGGGAAGTGGATGTGCTTGCCATTTATTTGGGTTTTGAGATTAAAAGAAAATAGGAAATAATCTGCTACCCTACCCCAAAATAGTCATACAGCAGTATGCACACCTCATACTGCCTCTGCTTAGACCGTTTTGAAGTACATTTCCTGGTTTTTAGAGTGGTTCAACTTAGTTTTCCCATGTAGTGTCCTGTAAGTTGGTGGTGGGTTCAGGGACCTGTGCATCAGAGACTGCATATGCTTTCTGCTTCCCTCCCCCATGCCCAGAATAGGTTTCCCTAACATGTAGCACTTTTTCTCAAGGAGTCCATTGTAATCTGGAATCTTTACTTTGGAACTCTGGATACTACTACCAGTGATGTCATGAACACTGGCTCATGGAGTGGATCCAATTGGCTATCCAATTGGATTAACTGAAGCAACAACTCAAGTACCTTTCCTGGACCCTGACACAGGCAGCCATTGAACACTTTGAAATTCTGATGCGTTGGTATATAAATAATGGTAACAATATTAGACTTCTCTTTCCAAAGATTACCATGAAACTACAGAGCTGCATTTTTTAGTACTTTTCTCTAGAAATGGTTCCTCTTAAAGCTAATCTACCTTTAAACTCAGCTAAAGAATTTTGTAGTACTAGAACAAACAACTCTTCAGGGCCCCAGAAAATGCCCTTTATGGTGCTCTACACCAGGCTCTACTGTCTCCTTGCCAGTGAAATATTTCAAAGAGAAGCCAAGGAGTTCCAAATAGGAGTATATGTGCATATATGCAGCAGGCCCACTGTGTGCAGGTACTGTTCTAGGTTCTAGAGACACATTCGTGGACAGAACAGACTTGTACTCCTCCTAGAACTTGGGTTCCAGTGGGGGTGGGGGTGGTTTGCAGTGGTTGCTTCCCCTCCAAAGGGGATTCATTCATGCCCTGTCTTAGTGTGCTATGCTTTAGGATTGGGTAATATCTTCGGCAGTTTTAGTTTTTTTAAATCTGTTTTTGCTGTTCTTTTGTCCTCTTTTTGTTGACATAAGAAAATGAAGTTCAGAGAAGTCAGTTAATCTGTGGCCTATACAACAAGTAAGCACAGAACTAATTTTCATCCTAAATTGGTTGGCCTCTGGAAGACTGTGTTACAATACCCGGCTTATGCTAAACTTTGGTTACTGGACTTTGCCAAAATTTTACTCCAATTTTCATGTTCAGCACACATGAACTGAGTATCTCACTTATAGAAACACACTTTGTTACACTTTGGGGCAAAAGTTAAATCTTTATGAGCCTTTTGTTCTACCTTCAAAGACAGCTAAGAACATGCTCTGTTTCTCACATCTTACATCTCAGGTTCGAATTGCTACTGAAGGAATCAATGGGACGGTTGGAGGAAGCAAACTGGCCACCAGACTCTACGTGGAAGTCATGCTTTCTTGCCCATTATTTAAGGATTATCTGTGTAAAGATGACTTTAAGGTAAGAGAAATAGAAAGTAGAAAGGAGTACACTCAGGGGAGGAACACAAGGCACAGTGTCTCTGGGCCTCTAATATAAAATTAATACTTTTATCTAAGTGACCTCCAGGAAATGGAAAAAAAAAAAGACTCTAGAGCCATCTGCTTCTACCTCATTGAAGACGAGGACAATGAGGAAAAGCGTACAGTGCCAGATAAATCCCTTTTCCCTTTAGGATTACAAGACAGTGCAGTAGAAGGATTGTCCTAGCTGTTGGCCTTCCACTGAGTTGCCATGTTACCAAGGGTCAGCTGGGCCCTTTCTAGGCCCCAGTCTTCCTTCTTAGACCCCGAAGATGTCACAGTTGTACAATGTAGGAATCACACTTGGGCAGGTTTGTTCATTTAAGAGACTATTTCAACAGATTGCTGTGTTGTACTATGTTTTTAGAAGAGCTGGAAGTAACAGATTAATGCTTCATACCACGTGGGAGCATGTTGCTTTCACAGTGAGCTGCTGTGTTTGAGTGACTTTTGTTCTACCACTGTCAGTGATAAGGTGATGGCAGATGCTTTTGTAATGTTCATGCTGGTGGCATAAAGAAAAGAAAGGTCACTGCTCCAGAACAATAGCTGCAGTTTAGTGGTGCTTAGTTAAATGCTTGTAGCCCTAGAAACATAACATTTCTACACATGGTAAATATTTATTAACATGTTAAATTATCTGGAACATTCTGAACCCTAACTCTCTCCCCATTAAGCTTTACTAATTTTTTTTTCCCCTAATTTGAGGTTTCTTAAGACTTTAGCTATCATTACAAAACAGAGCATAATTCTTAGGTTTGGCATTTCTTTTGTACTTGGCAATGGGATAGGAAGACTATATATCCTTTTTGTTTCTCATTGGCTAGACCAGCAAAGGAGGAGCTCACTGTTTTCCAGAATTGCGTGTTGGTGTATTTGAAGAAATCGTGCCCATGGGGATCAGCCCCAGTAAGATCTCCTACAAGAAGCCCGGTATGCTTGTTTTCAGAAAAGTTGTGCTTTTCGTCATGGGACAAATCTTAATAGAAAAAATAAGAAATTAAGCTGATCAGCAGAAGTTGTCCTGAAAATCCCATCTTTAAGGTAGTGTTGGGGTGGCTAACATTTTAGTTCATCTAGTGCTTAACTTGGTGCTTCTCTTAGGTGCTATCGTAATTGCAGATTTGCTCTTAGAATGATCTGATTCTTCTTGGTGATGGTTTGGTAAGAAGCTGTTGGCTCTTTCCCATGAAAGCAAATTGGGAAGAGTGTAATTATTATATGTGAGTAGTTGTCAGCAGAATAGAACACACAGGCCTTTTGGCACAGGGAGCAAATGGCTTTCAATAAATAGCAAAGCAGTTTGTAATGCTCTAGAATGTTCTTCCCCCTCTTCCCTGGTGGCTACTGTTGGTGTTTGAAAGACATTTGTTTGATGAGGTTTTGGGCTCATTTTACTTCTTATCATGAAAATGCCCAAACATTAGAAGAGAAATAGAGTGAAGTCACTTCTACGTATTTACTGCTCAGCTTCAGCAGCAACTCACTAATGGTCAACATTCTTCTACACTGTCCCCTTCTCCCTTTTCAGTAGAATCCCAGTGCCATGCCATCTCACTCATAAATGCTTTTGTGGGTATCTCTGGAAGATAAAGTTTTTTTTATTTAAATAAACTATTATGTCTAAGAGGTTTTAGCAATAAATCCCTAATATTTTCAGATCTCAGTCAGTTCCAGGTTGAGCCATCATTTCTTAAGTTTGCATTAGGATTTAAATGAGACCCATTTTATGATTCCTTATTATCATGAAGTCGATCAACATACATGTTTACCTGCATTGTCTTCCCTCTTGCACTTTAGTTTTGAAGAAGCTAGGGCATGTGGCCTGTAGACTCTCATAATGTGGATAGATAATGCTAATTGAGTCCCTGTGGGCTATTTCTCTGTTCCTTGTATTTCCTGCAAATTAGTAGATATATATGAAGTATATAATTTTATATTTTCTTGTAGCCACATGTAAAAAGTATCTGAAGTTCAGTTGCATGCTTTAAGATGAAGTATATCCAAAATGTTATTTCAACATGTAATTAATACAAAAACTATTGATGAGATACTTACCTTTTTTTTTTTTCCATACCAAGTCCTTGCAATCCACTTTTATTATAGCATACCTCAAAACCATGTTTCGAGTGCTTGTCAGACGCAGGTGACTGGTGGCTGCCAGGTCAGATAGCACAGGGCCCAAGACTGGACCAAACTCAAGTTCAGTTCCTTTTTTCCTTTCTTTTCTCCCTCCACAAAGCTATTTCATAGGTAGTATTAACTTCTACATCAGAAATAGCTAAGGACTGACAAGAATACTTAAGAGTATTCATTTTTTAATATGTAAACATTTAAAAGAATGTCAGGAGTTAAGTAGAGGGATAGGGAAGTAAGTTACACACATCTGGGAAAAAACAGCCCATGTGTGAGGAGGTAAGAATGAAACAGGTTGCATCTTTGTGTGTCCCTCCAGCAGGAAGCAGTCTGACAACTATAGCTTTTCTTGGCTATAGGACACTTCCCAGGAGCTTGGGAGAGAGTGGGTTCCAGGCAGTACTATGCTTCTTTCACATGAACTATAGTCAATTGAACATCAACAAAACAGGAAATCAACTGGTTCCCCGGGGCTCTTGTGGGGAGTACATTTCCACACTTCTCACAGATTTTTGAATGTCTCTTTTTGCCCACTGTTTTGGTATCTATGAAGGTATATGACATTAAATAGCATTGGGCCTGGTTACATTCTCCCTGTAATCTAGTTTGCACAGGTAGAAATACAGGCAGTTTGGCTGTGCTCTGGAGCCTCTTTTCTCTCCAGGGTATAAAACACTGTCCAGTGGCTGTTGGGATCCATTCTTGGGTGGAGTGTGGCTCCTTTGGTGCTGTGAAGCTTTATCATGAGTGGAAGGTGACCACCCTTAATTGCAGTTATCCCCCAATGCTAAGTTCACCAAAACCTTTTCAGTTTACAAGATGTAGACTCCCAAAGACTGGGGAATATTTCTATCCTGGAGAGTCAAAAGGCAAAGGGCTCCATCAGACTGAAGCTCTCAATTTGTTTGTATGCTTTGTCTCCTTTTCCTCACATCTAGTGTTTTTACCTTTTTGGTTTCTTTCTCATGTCCTTTCTCTTGTCTGTCTGTCTCTCAAACTCTGTCTTTGTTTTCCCTCATGCTTATAGACTTAGACACACTGCTTTTACTCTTTTTTTCATTTAAAAAGAAAACATACTCCAACTTGATTCCACAAGTTTATGCTCTTAGCTACCAGTTCTAAGTCAGGGCTCTTTCTTTAAACTTGGTTTCCACCTTAGTGTAGAATAGTTTAAAGCCTGTAATAATGTGTGTATATACTGAAGCTTCCCATGCAGAGTGACATGGTGTGGTGGCCTGCTAATGAACACTGGGTCAGCAAACCTAAACAGATTCCAACTGTTGACATTTTACAGTTATACTACGAGTATGAGGATGTGAAATGTCTTACTGCTAAGGTCTTTGAGATCCTCAAGTAGGGATCTTGGGATCAGGGAGATTGAGGATGCTTAGAATCACTAAATGATTTTATCAAAATCATCAGATACTATCATTTAGAAGACAGTTATCATTACCAGAAGAAGTTTCCATGGAAAGAAACCAGTCAGATGAGGCTGATTGTGCTTAAGTTTAATTTAACTTTTTTGTTTTGTCTTAATGTAATGTTTTTTATTTGGTTTTAGGAATCCATTTATCACCAGGTGAATTTCATAAAGAAGTAGAGAAATTCTTATCTCAGGCAAATCAAGAACAAAGTGATACTATTCTACTAGATTGCAGAAACTTCTATGAAAGCAAAATAGTAAGTAAGAACCAGAATTAGATTCAGTAAAATGGTAAGTTTCCCTGTTCCCTATCAACAGCATATTTCTCCAGGGGAAATTATGTCCACATAGATCTCCTTTCAGTTCTAGCTGCTTCAGAGAAAACCCAAGCCTTGAATTGAGGATTTGGTAACAAAGTTGAAGAGAATGTGAATTAACATCTTGACACAGAATATATTTTTGCCTCCCATGAGCCTACTCTTGATCAGTGATCTTGTGAAGTTTATTTTGGGGAGCCTCCTCAGTTCCCCTGAGTTTGTAGGAGAGTAACCCACAGCCCATTGGCCCTGCTTTTAATTCCAGATCAGAGAGAAGCAACTAGTGAAGTGATTTGCCAAGGTGGAAGTTGTTACATGGAAATAACTTGTTCTCCCTAGGTTTGTTTTCCTGGTAACTTTCCTTCCATTGCTTCTGTGTTGTAGGGGCGATTTCAGGGCTGCTTAGCCCCAGACATAAGGAAATTCAGTTATTTCCCTAGCTACGTTGACAAAAATCTAGAACTTTTCAGAGAGAAGAAGGTGCTGATGTACTGTACCGGGGGGATCCGTTGTGAGCGTGGTTCAGCGTACCTCAAAGCCAAGGTGAGCTTCTTCCCTGCAGTTAAAAAGCTCTCCAGCTGCCTGTGTGGAGCTTCCCATCGCTGTCCCATCCCCAGCCAGCCAGGGGATTTTCCCCCCCCTTGTATAGTTCAGGTATTGAGTTTGTAAGTGTGAGGTTCTTAAATCTCAAGATGAGAAAAGCACTTAAGAGTCCTGGAGACTCATCAAGTACTAAAGAGAAAGTTTAAACATCTTTCCTTTCCTAATCCTTTTGCTTGATCCCAAGAACAAATTCATAACATTACATGTCTCAACAGATGGCTTCCTATATTTAGGAGGCAGCAAAAATAGTTGGGTCTTTAGGGTCTTAGAGGGAGAATGTCTCACTGTTGTCATCACTCATCCTCCTCACTAGGCCAGGTCTAGCCAGTTGGTTCCTTGACCCTTTAATTATCAATCCGTCTGTGTCTCGCAGGGGGACCGTGAGCCCCTGGCTGGCAGCAGAGGTGGGGAATCCTCCGCTTGGGCACTTGCCGCCACTCTATGGAGCTTCTTCTAGGTTTCTGCTTATTTCTTCAGATTTCCTGATGTTTTTCCACACCCAGGGAGTGTGTAAGGAAGTGTTCCAGCTCAAGGGCGGCATCCACAAGTACCTGGAAGAGTTTCCCAATGGTTTTTACAAAGGGAAGCTGTTTGTTTTTGATGAGCGCTATGCCCTGTCCTACAACAGTGCTGTGGTGTCAGGTAGGTTGTCCCAGGTCCAGAGCCCATACTGAAGGCAGGCACCATTCCATCCAACATTCTAGAAACACTCGCAGGGGAAGCACCTGATGGAAACTTGTGCATCTCCAGCAGCTGGAGACACAACAGTGGAGCAGACAGCAATAGGAGTCCTGGTTATACCATGCATGGACCAGGCAAGCCTTTCAAAATGAGCATGTGTGCTCTGTGTGTTGCCAGGAGCTGGCCCAGTGGGGGAAATCAGGAGCTGAACCTGGAATTGGCATATAGAATTCAGGGGTTCAGTGGATTTGGATGGAAAAGTAGTTAAATCTTTATTTTCAGAAACTCCTTCAATTAGCATGTAGGCAGTAGACTGGTTGTATTAGATGTACCTGGAGACTTTGTAGTAGAATCAGTTGCTTTGACTATCTCAAAATAGGCGGAATTCTACTGCACAACACAAATAGTTTTTAGGCTCCCCAGTAAGTCTTATTTATATCTTGTACCTCTTACTGTTCCATAGATTTTGAAAAAGGTTTTTTAACAGTTTTTATTTACAATTGGTTTCCTTTGTAATACTGTGTGTTTTAATCATTTAAAATCATTTTTCTAAGATATAGTCCATGGAATTTACTAGTCTGTCAAATAAATCCATGGCACAGATGGTGCTGTGCACATTTGAGTGGGGAATGGAGCATGGCCAAGGCCAGGGGCAGGGTGGCCACAGGTAGGCAAGCACAGGCTGCCTAGATTTGGCTGAAGTGTTGGGCCTGCACTAAGGATTGGTTTAGGCACAGGCAGTAAAGGGAGAGAAAATCATTCAGAAAGGTGACTTCTGTCCCTAGTTTGGAATGGGAAGTGTCACTGACAATCCGAGTGGCTGCTGCAGCTTCTAGAACTCCTGTGAATAGGGACTGAGGTAATGATAAAGTCAGAGTGTCTTTGCTACCTTTCAGATCTTTTTGTTCACCATAATGATCCTTATCTCTTATTGGAAAGTACTTCAGATCTGTTTGGAAGTAGATATAGCATAAATTACAAATGAGTACAAAGCAGATGTGTTAGTTTTACAGAGGAAACACTGGCAGGACTTGAGGAATGCCTGCATGTAATGGGGAGAAATGGGGAGAAAGGCCCCAAGGTAGCAGAGATAGGAGATAACCAAGGTAAGAAGACTTGGGAAAGACTTGTGGTTGAGAAAGATGATGTGCAGTTTGGGAACCAGGTGGCCAAGGGTCCTGGCACAGTCTTGAGGCTCAGGCCCAAGGAGTTAGTGTGTACTTCAGAAGTAATTCAGTTTGGGGGTCAGCTCCCTTTTAAAGAGAAAGACATTTAAAAAAGGGTGTTCAACTCCTACCATCCTTTGTCAGAATGGCTCATGAGAAAAGGCAAAGAAGAAAAATGAAGCTAGGTGCCAGTGGTTCATGTCTATAACTGTAGCTGTTCAGGAGGCTGAGTTCTGAGGATTGTGTTGAAAGCCAGCCCAGGCAGGAAAGCCTATGAGATTCTTACCTCCAATAAACTTCTCAGAAAAGGCTGAAATTGGCGCTGTGGTTCAAGTGGTAGAGTGCTTGCCTTGAGCACAGAGAAGCTCAGGGACAGAACCCAGGCCCTGAGTTCAAGCCCCAGGACTGGCAAATAAAAGAAAAATAAAAATGAGTCAGTGAGCTGGGTGCTGGTGGCTCACGCCTGTAATCCTAGCTACTCAGGAGGCTGAGATATGAGGATCGCGGTTCAAAGCCCAGGCAGGAAAGTCCATGAGACTCTTATCTCCAATAAACGACTAGAAAACCAGAAGTGGTGCTGTGGCTTAAGTGGTAAAGGCTCGCTTTGAGCTGAAGAGCTGAGGGACAGCACCCAGGCCCAGAGTTCAAGCCCCATGACCGACCAAAAAAAAAAAAAAAAGTGAATAATTGAATCAGAAGACAATTTCCAGATGAAACCTCCTTTGCCCTCCTCTTCTCCTCCCCCCTTCCCCCCCCCCACACAAAAAGCATGGGTGCTTGCTTAGAAAATTGGGAGTTTGCTTTGTGTGTGTATGTGTGTGTGCGCCTACCCCTTGTGTTTTTGCTTTGTGTTTCTGGATAGCCCAGGCTGGCTTTGACCTCATAATCCTCCAACCTCATCTTCTTGCATGCTGGCGTTACAGGAGTGCACCAAACTCATCTGGCTATGTAACTTTCTATTTTTTTGTTTTTTAAAAAAAAACAACAAACCTCTAGACCTAACCAGACGTATTAGAGTCCACTAAGCTAAGAGTTACATTTAGAACTGGATAGGTATGTGTGTGTATGAGAGAGAGACACAGACAGACAGATGATGAATGAATAACCAGGGCTTTTCTTTCTGTTCTAGAATGCTCATACTGTGGGGCTCAGTGGGACCAGTATAAACTCTGCTCCACTCCTCAATGCCGCCAGCTTGTTCTGATCTGCCCTGCCTGTCAAGGACAAGGATTCACAGCCTGTTGTGTCATGTGTCAAGACAAAGGGAACAGGCAGGCTTCAGACCTTCCCCAGGATAGCTTTAAAGAGGAGTGTGAGTGCACAGCCCGGCGGCCACGCATCCCGAGGGAAATCTCTCAGCCTGGTCCACTCCCTGTGAGCCCAGATGTTGGCGAGGATCCTTTGCTTGTATGAGCATTTGCCAGATCTTCACAAAGTCGTTGGGGTCTATTAGGAGAATGTCAAGGCTACAGAAACCAATTGGAGATTTGGCGCTCAGTGCCACCATAGCAAACTGGTCACCATGTTGGTCGCATACACTTTACAAGAGAAGAGGGATAGGAAGTGTTGGCCACTTACCTGAACCATCCTGGTTCAGAACATGCTAGCACACAGAACAAGGTGAGCTATATGGGATCCCAAGGTGTAGAAGAATCAAGCCTTGTACGTGGCAACTGTGTCATGCCCTTTCTTTGCCATGCAGTAGGACTGTTCATAGCCATGGTCCTTATTAGCAAACCTGTTTTCCTGGCAGCAAAAGTGGCTGTGGGAGTGGACTCCTAGACCACCACTTAGGTCATCTGCTATCTTCCACTGCCTCATTTTTTTCTCCAATCACCTGAGGAGATCTGTAAACTGGCATTTGGCTCACCTCCTACTTCTGAAAATTTAGTGGAGGCACCCCTTCCCCTCCCCCCAGCCCTTTACGTATGATCTGTGGTACTATTGAGGAGCTGCAATAGTGTCTGGCACTTGATAGAAAAGTTTGTCATCCTGTCATTTGGTGCATGATACGACAGACACATGCTTCTCATCAGCTGCCCACAGCTGTCTGCTTGTAATGATAGTTTTCTATGACCTGCAAATGATGTTATAAATATCCAAATGGCCGTTGGCAGAGAAAAAATTCCTCACCTCTGCTTAGGGAGACTCAGATAAGCTTGAGGGCACTGGCATTTGAACCATGTTTAGATCAGCATCTGGAATACAAGATCCTCCCTCCCCGCCCCCTTTTTCTTTTTTGATTGCGAGGCTTGAGCTCTGAGCCTGGGCGCTAATCCTTGAGCTCTTTAGCTGAAGGCAAGCACTCTACCACTTGAGCCACTGTGCACTTTTGGTTTTGTGGTGGTTTGTTGGAGATAAGAGTCTCACGGACTTTCCTGCCCGAGCTAGCTTTGAACTGCGATCCTCAGATCTCAGCCTCCTGAGTAGCTAGGATTACAGGCGTGAGCCACGGCGCCCAGATTTTTTTTTTTCTTAATTTAACAAGACACTTTCTTAGTGAGATCATTCAGTATTGGTGGCTGCCCAGCCTTCTGGTCAGCATGCCAGGCACATGTTGCTGTCACACTGGTTCCAAGAAACACACCCACAGCCACATGTAGACCAACGGCTTTAATAGTATGTTGCAGTTTCCAGTGATGCAGAATGCAGCTGCAGTTTGTGTTTCAAGGAGAAGCCAAGTGGGGATGGCCATCCCTGCAGCTTGGTGCCATTCCTGGGCCCATTTGCAGCCCAAGTAGACACTCTTCGTAATGGTGAGGCCCTGGCTCCACCTCTAGTTACCCTGTACTATCCACAGCATTGCAGTTCTGTGGGCGGGACTTACCCTATTCATCAGAAGCTTCCTAAATGTGCTCCTTGGCGTTTGGCCTTATCCTTATATAAGGTTTGCTGAATCCCCAATGAAAATAACTCCCAAAGCAACAAACAAAATCACTAGTTGAACTGGCACTGTGATATATTAAAAGGCACAAGGGCGATGTGACATGGCTTGACATTTTTACTGGCTCCCAAAAGGTACGCATGGTGTTAGAAGGAACAAGGAGAAACACCAAAATTTTATTTTCAGAATTATCCTGGGGTAGTGTAGCTAAAATGTGGTCATTCTTCAGTAGCCGGGCTTTCTGCACTATCGTCCTTCGGAGGCTTCATTTTCAGACTGAGCTCAGTGGTGATTTGTCTAATGAGTGATGAGCTAGGGAGTAGAAGTTTGTTATTTTGCCCATGCCAACTCCCACACCCACAATGGAATGGGGATGTACACCACTGGTGGCTAGCTTCCCCTAAGCCATTTCTCACTCTGCTGTACAGAAAGGTGTTCGCACATATTTGGCCAATGTTTTCACATCCACAATAAGGTGGGCATTCAGTCAGGAAAGTTCTTTCTACTCCCACGTTCCTAAAGAACACTCAGCAATGGTTGCTTGGGTGGCTTCTGAAACTTGAAATTTCACCATTGCCTTTTTCTAACATCCAACAAGAGGAGTGAGTGTGTGTGTGTATGTGTGTGTGTGTGTGTGTGTGTGTGTGTGTGTGTGTGTGACTCTTGACAGAGTCCTGTGGCTTTACTCTGGGTGATTCTTTAGGGGGAAAATGGTTTTTTAAATTCAGTAATCAATTTGGCAACTTTAATCTTGAAGTTCTTAAAACTTAAAAAGATAACAAAGGGTGATGATCTGTTCTTTATGCCATAATAAAGTATTTTATAATTCTCTAAACTAAGTGGAAGAATTCCTTGTTGTTCATGTGTTTCGTGTTGTGAATGCACCTTAAATACCACACAGCGAGGCCACCAGCCTGGGCTCAGGGGTTTAGTCACTGCCATGGTTGTTGTGTCATTTAAAGTAAGAGCTGCCAGTTTGAGGGCTTCTGAATTTTTAAATAATAACAAGACCGAACTTCTGTGACTAAAGAGAAACTTCACATTAGCCATAGTTTATAAAATGTTCAACTACAACCACTAGTTAACCTAAGACCTTAGTGCATAAAGAACTTAACCACAAAAGAGTTTTGTGCCAGCGTTTGCCTCTTGCTCTCCACTGCAGAGCACAATGTCAGTAGAACACATCCAGTTCAAAGGCATGGGCTTCATACCAGCACACTAGACTCCACTGCGGCACTTGGGAATGATGGGCCCCGTTAGGTCTGCAAGCCTCCTCTTCCTCACTGGAAAGGAATGGAAATGAAACATAAGCCATTTGTCCCTTACCCACCAGGAATCCCTACTGTTGGTCCAGAAAGCACTGTGGATCTCCTGTTCACTTTTTGGTTAGCAAAGTCAGAAGTCTCTTTGAAAAGGACAGTTTGGTGTGCATTGTATAATTGACACTCAATTTATGCTTGTTGATGAGCCTGTGGTAGGAGAGACTTGTCCATAAACCGACCTCACATCACAGCCCACGTCATCTACCAGATTGTTTTTCCTTTTCTATCAAGGGCCCAAAGTTGAAGACTTATTCCAGTTCAGACAAAAGTTGACTTCAGTGTTTTTTGTTTTTTTTTTTTTAATTTGTAGGTGATACTGCACTTATTAGGTGTCCTACCACTTGAGCCATATCTCTATCCCTTTTTGTTCCATCACACCCAGCAATTGGTTGAGATAGGGGTCTCATGTATATGTTCTGAGTAGTTTTGAACTGCTGTCTTCCAGATCTCCATGTCCTGTGTAGCTGTTAGGTATGAGCCACCAGTGTGTAGCCAAGTGTATCTTCTTAATGAGATGAAGTCCTATATTTCCACCAGCTTCTGGGGACTCAGCCTTGCTCCTGCCTACGTAAGCTGCTGTTCCCACCTGAAGGTCACCAGTATTTGCCCACTTAACGTTTAGCAGTGACATTTTTCCAGAAAGAGCAATTTAGGCTGTTCACATAAAATTAATGTCATACAGAAGAAAACACCAGCTAAGATATGTTAGCTTAAAGAATGACAAGTTGAAGGTGGCAAAGGGATCACTTTGTTTTACCAATGGAGAAGATTGGAATGAAGTCGAGTTGGCAGGTGAAGACCAAGCAGCCAGCTAGATCAGCCACAAGAGTAAGAAAGATCAAGCCAGGCTGCAGAGGCAGCAGGTGGCAATCGGGCCTGCTGGTGAAGGAAGAATTGTCTATACCTCACACTGATCAGCTTGTGCTTGACCCCTAGCACACCACAGGGAGGTGTGTGGTGATATGCTGGGAGCTGAGGTGGAAGTGCTCAGGAACGCCCCACAAGGGGCCTACAGTTCTGCCTGTGACTCCGCCTCTACCAGTCCCTTCACATCCAGCCCAATTCCTGAAGCTGACCAGAGTATGGAACAGCTTGGAAGTATCTGGGGCATAACAAAAACCCAAACCCAAAGAGACGAGGTTGGCTCAATGTGAGTAGTTCCCATGAACCCACCCTTGAGGCATGTCCCTGGCCAGTAGCTGTGAAGCACGTCCAGCAGCACCCTCCATCTTCTTGGGCTCCATACCTCATGGGGACCCTGCCAGAGATCCGGGGATATTCCTATTGTTGCCATTCCCATTTATACAAATGAGGAAAGTATGGCAGAGAGTATGTTTCACTAATAACACTAGCATCAGACTGCACTAAGACTGGTGACTCACTGCAAGCCTCCATTTAGTGCTTCCTTCAGGACATTCAGAACTGGTCTATCTCTGCCTCATCAGCTCCCTTCTCCTGGAGAAGAGAGCCATGGTCAGTCCCTGAGGGCCACTGGCAGAACCAGGACTGGCAGTCAAGTTCTTAGCTGTGGCTGAATGCAGGCCTTTGTGTACCATGACTTGCCTTTATTGTGTGCCCTGGGCTAGACCTTTGTGCACAGTTTTCAAACACTGGCTTTCATAGGGATGCCCCCGAGGTACTGTTTTCCCATTTTAGTCATAGGCCAGGAAAGGGAAGTAATAGGTGCCATGTTATAGTTAGAATAGAGTAGAAGCCAGGTTTCCCAGTATCCTCTAGCTCAATCTGCTTGTTGATTTTCTCTCTTTGATTGCTAATCTCTTAAAACTACTTGATTGGCAGGTCTACCACCAGATACTGGTTTATCATCTCGGCCAGAGAGGATCTGAGATCCTCAGGAGATAACAACACACAGGGTGTTGGGGAGGATGGCATAATTTAGTAAGATGGGAAGTTTCAGAACAGTGCTTATGCCTGTCATGGGAGTTAAGTGGCATTGAGCCATGGGAAGCCTGCAAGGCTCCTAAGCAGGGAGTGGTAGGACTCAATTTGGGATGAATGCTGTTGGAGGCTGGGGACACTACAGAAGGACAGGTGCATGGGTTGGATTTAACTTGAGGCTGGCATTGGGACTAGCAGTGAGGTCACTGGCTGGCTGGCAGGAAATGCCCACATTACTGGCTTTTGCAGCTATGGAGAAAGTAGTCTCCTTTTCCAAGATGGTTTTGGAGGTATTAAGAACACCTTTGATTTGGGATCCAGCAATCTAACAATCCTACTTCTGAGGATTTACACCAAAGATTTGAAATCAAACATGTCAAAGAAAAGTACACTCCTGTGTTCATTGTAACACTGTTCATAACAGTCAAGATATGGAATCAACCTAAGTGTCCACCCTTCATCCAGTGGGCAGGACAGAATGAGGATTTCCACTCACCAAGGTCATTGTTGTTCATCATGGCATTAGATGCCCGAAGCCGGGGCCCCTGCTGGGTAAAATGGTAGCCAAATTTGAGAAGTGTTGCATTTTTCTCCAACATGCTCACAATCTCCATTTCCACTTTGTTGCCCAGGGGCTGACTCTTCGGATTAAAAAAAAAAAAAGAACAAAAGTCACAACCATTACACAATGTGGTACCTAAACCACCTGTTTAGGCAGGAATCCTGAGTGATGTGTGAGGATTTTAGTCCCCTCTCCAAATCAAGAGAATGAAAATGTAGAGCGATTGAAGGGTTGTACAGTCAGGAGCAAACCCAGCTTCTTCAATGGCCATCAAACAAGGCTTTGTCCATGGCTCCATAACAGCCTCTTTCTAAGCAGGTGTCCAGGTAACAGCTCCCTCTCAGAAGAATGTTTGGCTAGGGAGCACTTGCAAATTCACCTAACCCCAAGGAGGTTCTTAGAATTCTGCTGTCCAGGATGTGCCTAGTAATGAAGTAAAAATCACTGGTTGGTAGGACTGGTTGGTAGTTGTTAAAACTCCCTGGGTGATACCAATTTCAGACAAGTTTCATAGCTGGTAATTTAGACTAATTTCTCAATTTATTAATGAAGAACTTGAAGCCCAGAGAAGAAATTGGATTTGCTCAAGATCATAATCTTAAGTTGGGAATGCCAGAGTTAGCTTTCTGAAACCCCACAGTATTTGTCCCCCTGCCCCCAAATCTACAGTGATCATCTACTTAAAGACTAAAAAACAAACAACTCCACAACCTGGAAATACCTAACAATACAGTCTTGGGAAGGAGTTTATGAAAGTGTTCATCCTATCCCTGTTTATGACAACATGAGGAAAGGGGAAAACACTTAAGAGATAGCTGCTAGAAAACAACAGCATAGGCAACTGTGAAATGATGGTCACATGCATGGAAAGAAGGTGATGAAATAATACTTCAAGGAGACAAAAACCCTGGTCACAAAATAGGCCATTTTTGTGTAAAGTTGCTTGATATCTTATCTATAGATCACAGAAAAACTGATATGACAGAATTTATAGGAGTTTTGTGGTCTTCTTTATATTCGAAATTTCCATTACCATATATAATAAAATAAAACGTAAACATAATATCAAACACATGCCTCTAAAAGATATAGAGGGGAAGATAATATTCTTAATGGTTAAAAACTAAAATCTTTCCCTTAAGATTAGGATCAAGGCCGACCCCATGTTTGCTTTTACTAGTGTTGTTTTGGTGGTCCTAACCAGGACAATCAAGAAAGAGAAATAACATCTAGACTGGAAAGAAGGAAGTATTTGAAGATTATATGATTTTATATTTAGAAAATCCTAAAGAACACATACACATTAGTGGCAACCAGTTTAGCAAGATTGCAGGGTAAAGAATGATATACATTCCAGGCACAGTTTATCTCAGTTGAATGAGAAGTGGAGATCAGGAGATCATGGTTTAAGGCAGCCTGGATATAAAAGTTCCTGACTCCATCTTAAGCAGTGGCTGCTAGGTGTAGTGGTGTGCACCTGTTATTCCAACTATAGGGAAAGCAAAATGGCTAGGCAAAGGGATGCATGGTTGCCATTCTCAATGATGTGGAGAAGCATACATAGAAAGATCATAGCCCAGGTTGGCCTGGAAGTAAAACAAGACCCTAGCTTGAAAATAACCAATATAAAGAAGGAGCTAGAAGCATGGCTCAATTGGGGGAGCACCTACCTAGCAAGTGGAAGGCCCTGAGTTCAATCCTCAATATTGTCCCCCAATGATATTAAAAAAAATAACAATTGAGGGTCTGGGAAGGTGGCTCAGTGGTAGAGTGCTTGCCTTGCATGCATGAGGCCCTGAGTTCGATTTCTCAGCACCACATAAACAGAAAAAGTCGGAAGTGGCCCTGTGGCTCAGGCCTAGAGCGCTAGTCTTGAGCTGAATAGCTGATAAGCTGAGGGATAGCACCCCAGCTCCAAGTTCAGGCCCCAGGACTGGCAAAAAATAATACATAAATAAATAAATGAATAAGGACTAATGCAGTCAAGAATTCACTATGTATACCACAAAAATAAGAAAAGGGAAGGGCTGGGTTGAAGGAGGGTGAGAATATTGCAGGGCTGAAACTGATCAAGATGCATTATATTCATAAACATCTTTGTTAAATGGCCCCTCCTGTGCACAACTATTTAAAGATAATTTAAAGATGTTTTTATTGGATTTAAAATAATTATTATTTTCTTTTTGTGGTATTGGTCGTGAGCCTGAACAGTTGGTCCTTTCCTCCTTTTTCTCTCATTCCTTGCTTGCCTGTCTATGACTGGTGATCTGCTACTATGGTACCTGGTACCTGTGGGCTCTTCTGCCTTTCCTCTACTATCTCCTGTTAGATGTATCTCTAGTGATCTAAAACCCACTGCAAATTTTCCCTCCCTGCTGAAGCCTTTCGTGATTCTAATGCCTGGATATGATCCTTTCCATTCCACATTGGACATCCCTCTCTCCACCCACCACAGTCCATCTGCCTCCATTTCTATCTCTCCAGCCAGACCTGTACTTTCCATGACAGCAGCGACTAGCCATGTTTTTTTTTCTTCTCCCAAACCTGAATCATTAAAATCAAGTCTAAAACTCAGTTTCTCAGTTGCACAAACTCAGTGGCCACTGGCTGGTGGCTACCATATTGGTCAACATAAACAGCATGCCACTCCTCACTGTGCTGCTGTCCATGCTGAGCTCTGGAGGGTACTGCCACCTAGTGTCTCTTCCTCAGGCTTTGGGGAACTGCATGGAACAGAGGAACTAGAAAGTCATCCAAGTGCACAGCATAAAAGAGCTGGAGGACACACAGAACAAGGCTGAGATCTCACTGGTCAAGTGTAAATTGAGATTGAGATGCTGGACAGAGAATTTCTCCCAAGTATTGAGTCCACCAGAAGATGCCGGGAAAGCCAACCATAGTAGAACACTGGTGTAATCCCACTGGCCCATCTGGGAAGGTTCCTGAAAATGCTGGGAAGAGCTCAGGCTTGACCTTAGAGGACTCAGCAGAACCTGGGTCTGGCCAGCTGGCCTGGAAGATGGTAGCGACCATCTGAGGCCTCCAGGAGAAACTGGCAGCTCCCTTCCCATCCCATAGCAGAAAGCCTGGCTTCTCTTTGGGGTCACCTGCTGGGAAAGCACTGATGGAATTCAGGATGGGCTTGTCTCAAAAGCACCATCTGCCCTGAGATAAGACTCAGCCAGGACTGTGAGGGTCATGTGACCGCTTCAATGTGGATACTCTGAGCAGGTAGGTCCAGCTCACACAGCCTCTTGACCTGCCTAGGTCCCTGGGGGATGAGCAGGGCAGGCAGAAACAAGCCTCTCCATCTCAGAAACAGCAAACTACTATGTAGAGACAGAAGCTGGCTAGACAGCTCCGTCTTTGTTGTTGTTGTTGGTACTTGTGGGACTTGAACTCTGGGTCTGGGTGCTGTTCCTGAGCTCTTTTAGCTCAAGGCTAGCACTCTACTACATTGAGCTCCACTTCTGGTTTTCTGGTAGTTAACTGGAGATGAGTTTCAAAGACTTTCATGTCCGGGCTGGCTTTGAACCACAATCCTACAATCTCAGCCTTCTGACTAGTTAGGAGTATAGCTGTGAGCCACCAGTGTCCTGCTAGCTCCATAATTCTTAATGCCAGATGCAAGATTTGACCTTGACCTGGGACTGGAAGGACAGCAGAGGCTCTCCAGGGCTTCAGAATCTCAAATTAGTGTTCAAGATTTCAGGGATACTTGTAGGACTATTTGAGTGTGTGTAGCAGGGTACAGAATTCCATTTATAATCATGACATGAAGTGTGAATCTTGGACCAAGACTGTTTCCTTTTCTTTTTTCTTTCCCTTTCCCCTTTCCTTTCCTTTTTCTTTCACCTCCACTCTTTTTCTTTTCTCTCCCTTTCTCCTGTTTCCCTATCCCTTCCCCTTCCTTTCTTCACAGTGCTGAGGATCAAACCCAAAACCTTGCACACGTATGGTATATTTGCTACCACTGAGCTATATTCCCAGCTCAAAATAGAAAATATGTATATATCCTTAGAACGAACATTAAGAATTCAAGGTCTCTCAAACTCCAGGGACTCTGAGACTAAAATGACACATCTTATAGACAAGACAATGGGCACTGGCTACAAGGCCAAGATTAACTCAAGTCTCTTATTTTTCAAATAACTTCCATTTAATGACCACTGTTAACTTAAGCACTTTACAAAAACAATCTCATTTTCCTCACTATCAACCTATGCAATATGTATTATTTATCATAATTTTCATTTATAGGCAAGGGAATGAAGTATATAGGTACAAGAATTTTCCCCTCCTGGGAATGGTGGTATATAATCTGTTCTCAACTATGTAGGAATCATAGGTAGAAAGATCAATTTTGATCCTTCTATTTGATCCTTATATCAATTTTGATGGACCTAGCAAAAGCATGAGACTCTATCTGAAAAACAAAAGCAAAAGGTGTGGCTTAAGTGGTAGAGCCACTTGCCTAACAAGTGTGAGGCCCTGCACTCAATCCCCAGCACTACTAAAAAGAAAAGAAAAATGTGCTCTAGGTCACAGAAACTGGCAGTTGCAGAAGAATGTAAATATAGGCAGTTTGTTGCATGCTAGTTAATCACCACAGCCCTTTGAGAGAACTCAGAAGGTAGAAGGAGCACTGACAGAGAAGTAACAGAGAAGGAACACTGGCAGACTTGGCATACAGATCTGCAATCTCATCATCAGAGGTGTTCACATACTGAAAGAACGTCCTGGTGAGAGAAGGAAGTGCTTGTCCCTGGAGGTGCATAAACAGAAATCAGCCACAGCTTTTAAGGGACTACCCAGATGTCATGAATGGGGAAAGCTTGGGCTCTACGACCTGTAAGGCCTCTGGGGCCTGAGTCTTATGAGTCTATGAATAGCTTGCTTAAATGGCACAAAACATCAGGAGAATGACCTTGACAGTCGGTGAAAGGCAATAAGAATCCCCTAGGGAGAGATGGGTGGCTCGACTGTCAGCACTGGCAATGGCAGAGTCTTGGCCACAGGCCAGGGCAAAGGTGGATAGGGAAAAAGTCTGGACTCCCATCTGATTTGCGGGAGAAATGA